AGAGCATTTATCTAAAATGCAATGCATGAAGCTCTTCTCTAATGTAGGCTTTTAATTGTCTACTACTATATACTGTAATGTTAAACCCTGTGCATAAAGCTTACTTTGTTATGAACATTATTAATGCAGAATGAATGACTAGAAAGTTATTTTCTAGAGAATGTGCTTTGGTAGTTAGATTTTACCATTGCTCCGTGATGAAGCAAAGAATCTGCTGCCTTTTGCCAGCATGGTTTTTTTATGGAACAGTCTGACATGCTTCATGTTAAATATGAGTGCACACAAAAATAAATGCAAAAAAATGTTCTTTTATACAAAGTGATTTAAATAATTCCTCTCAGCTTTAGTGACACCTGTGGTGTACAGTGAAGCCTTTCTAGGCAAAGGTTGTTATAATTGTGATTGTTATGAATTACGTCAATTTAGCCACCAATTAACAACTTGAATAAATGATTACATTCATTATCAGGTGGGATGCAAAGCTAATTGAAGTCTGCAGGAGCTTTTCTATTGAGGTCATGGAGCTTGGATCAGGCCCGTAAGTGAATAGCCAAATAGCAGTAATTTTTCTTTTTTTAGATAGCTCATTTTCTTGTGTTCTATCTAGGGGGAAAAACACTGAACTTTTCTGCCTCTAACCTGTGTGACCCCATTATTAAAGAATGAACACATGTTCTAAGACTCCTGATGAAAATGAGTTGCTGTCAAAAGCCTTGTTGTTCTTTCCTTCCACATATGGCCATGTGGTACGCTAGAGCTTCAGAACATTCTCAGCCCATGGAAATGCCAAATAATATGTCTAAAATTGAAACATTTCTTTAGCCATCCCTAGAATTAAAGAAGGAGAAGAATGACAAGCATAATGAGTTTTTATAAGTTGTTAAAAAAAGCACTCCCTTCTTGCCAGGATTCATTTATGAAAATATTTCTATGACTTTAAAATAAGCAGAAAATAGTGATTTTTTTTTCCCCCTATTGCTTTTTTCATGGACTACAGGCACTGTACTGGCTAGATTTCAAAAGGGTAATCATGGTTTTCTTTACTGAAAAGCTCTCTTTTTATTTGCATAGCGTTACTCAGTGTGTGTTCTGAGCTCTCCTGTAACAGTGTCACTTGCTATTCGAAGGCATATTTTAGTGCAACACCCTGTGTGTGTGTGTAAATAAATGCTCATCCCAGAGTAGTCTTGACAGCTGAAAACAATGCAGAGAAAGGAAAACACTAGTAATAAAGGCACAATTTCAAGTTACAATAAAAGGTGAGAAAGCAGATAGGAAACTTCCTTTCAATGATAAGAGTGTGTAAAACAGAATCAGAAGGATTACTAATATTCTTAAGATTGAAAATCAGAACAAAGGGTTCTCCAAAGCAGGGTGGTTTTTTTATTGTATGACAAGTACTTACAGCGAGTCATTAACTGTTCATGTAAAAAGTTGGCTTGAGTAGGACTCTGACAGTCTCTGGATTTGGGGCTTTTCCTTCATTTTTCTAATTTGCTGATACAAGCCTGAAGCTGTCTGTTAATCCCAGGTGTCCCTGTGGCAGGCAGCAGGAGGCAGGACTCACATATTTGTCTGGTCAGTGTCAGTCCCACATCACCGTAAGACTGGGTGAGATCAAAGGGAGATTGGCAGAGTAGGCATGAAGTGCTGGGTCTGCTTGGAGGGAACACTCAAGTGTCCTCTAGACCCTAAGGCACGATTTGGGTTCCCCTGAAATGACCAGCTCTATCACCCAGAATGTTTTCCTGGGTGCTCCTCTAGGCGACAAACACGAAGTAGGCTAAAACCGGCCTTTAATCCCAAGTCCATGCACTTCCTGAACTGTACTGCACAAAGCCAGCATTGGACTGAGATACACAAGAAATGTCTAAAAGTAGGTGAAAAAGGAAACTGTGTGGACTACAAGTGTAACATTTGCTATGTGGAGCTTTTGCCTAGTTCCTTTGATTTCTGTGAAGTTCAGTCAATGGTAGCATAGTGGAACTACTGACATCTGGTAGTTGTTATTAAAATGTTGCTACACTTAAAGGTAGGACTAGGACAGTAATGAAAAGTGGAAATTTTGTCTCTGCTCGTACTGGCTTTGTGTGGGGTCGTTCCTTCGACTGCAGCAGAATGACTCCTGATTTAGAGTAGAGCTCAGGGAAAGAGAACAAGACAGCTCTGTGAAATGGCATGCTAAGTAGCTCAAGTCTCTCATGCTGTGCTGGAATCTGTGATAATTAATATGCTTTAAAGGAAATTCAGTGACCACCTGGAATTACTCCTAAATTTAATTTGGATGTTGTCATTAAGGAAGTATATGTGATTTTTATATGTATGTATATGTCTATAAATGTATTCAAGTATTCCAGCTTTGGAAACACATGAGTGTGCAGACATGAGTGTGCAGACTTCTCATGTCCAAAGTTATTTGAGGTGTTGTATTAGATATGGTAGAGCTCCTCTACCTCCTGAATTATATATACATGGATCAGTTTGCCTGCAATGGCTGGAGGATGTGAAGTCTTTGGTTCCTGTGCTGCTTGTAAAGGTGAAATGTCCTTTTTTGGCACTGACTTATTAAAATGTTCCAGCCAGAAAACCAAACAAGTAAATGAGGATCTGCCATTTTAAATCCTGATAAAGCAGAATGTCCTATTGCAAGAAGAAAGGAAATATGGAAGAAGCTTCACCCCCCCATGCCCACTCTCTACGTGGGCTAGGGTGAGAGAAACCATGCATACAACTGTTGCATATTTTTTCTAAGAAGTGCTTTCTAATATATTCATTGGTCAGAAGGCAGGGTGGCAGGGGCCAGATGGGTGGTGTGTATCAAAGGAAAGCACCCTGCCAGGGTGATGTGAGCTCCCTGCAGGTCAGCAGGCAAGAGCAGGTGCAGGAACTGCCTTGTAGGAAATAGAAGAGGGCGTAGGTGAGGCATGCTGGGTAGATAAGAAGGGTGTTTGACAGACGTGGTGGCAGCTTCAAACCGCTTCGTGGTGGGAAGCAGCGATGAAGGAGAGGCAGTGCCTGCAGCAGCACGCTCTCCTGCACGGTGGGCTGCTGTCACACGTGCTCCATGGTTCGAATGTGGGACCTTATGTACCCCCTAGCACAGAATAACCAGTTCTGAAACAGGCCACGGAGAGCACAAAGCATCCCTCTGCTGTCTCTTTTGTGATCTAGAAGGGCTTTGTGCTTCTCAGGTAATAAAACTCGGTGTACTCCTGTTGTTCAGGCAGGCTGTGATGGACAATACCTAGCGGCACGGGATGCTGGGGTCAGAACCATCAGGTACCCTGAAATCAAAGTAGGGTGGGGTTTTTTGTCACCCAGCTATACAGCTGTACTGAAAGAAGTGCAGAAAAAAACAGTGCACAAAGAACTACCCTCTTTTCATTTAGTAAAAGGTTGCTGTATGTTTTTTTGCATTTTGTGAAAAGTTTTTCTGTTTATTTTGCTATTGCTTCTTTAAACGTGTGCTGGGCATATGCAGTTGTTGTTTTATACATGCATTCGGTGCGTGTGTGTATTTGCTCCCAACTGGACATCTTCATTACCACCACGTTGGAGGGGGTGGTAGAATTCTACCTGCAAACTTGCTTTTAATTTATTGTCACTTCCTTCAAGTTGTTGCCAGTATTTTAAAAGGCAAATAGTTATTTCATATATTTGCCATCTCTAATATTTCAGAACTTTGCTGGTTTTAATCTGCTCAGTCTGGTATGTAATTAATTTGCATAAAACATTTAATCATGCAAGAGTGAACTCAAATTAAGAGATCTACCCTTTCACATGCCAGGGTTTGGCTGAAACTGCAACAGGACTTTCTTCATATGCTGGAGAGTTAATGTGTTTCCTTTTGCTCTTTGCTCATTTTTTCCATCTGTCACAATCATCTAGATAAATACATAGAGAAAGACTTCTATAAAATAATTGTATAGGATTAATTATGCTGTTTGAAACAACATTTCCCTCTTAGCCTTTGTTCATTGTGAGGTTTTATGTGGTTTTGGGGGTTTTAATATAAAGGATCTTTGGCTCTTCAGGTTATCTTGCAATAAACAATTAAAAACTCATAGTTAATGATGACTTCCCTTCAACCTTTTCCCCACTATCCATAAGTCGTATTTCAAGGAGTCCTCAATTCAGAGTTAATCTTTTATATTTTAGTTTAATAGCCCTTCTGTGGATCTGAACAACTGAGTTTTCAAGTCCTTTCAATTTTTGGCATTTACCATGTCCTGTGCCAGGGAATTCTGCAGCTCGATCTATAATTTTTATAAAGAAAAATTTCCATTTTCAACCCTGTTGGGTTCCTGTCTCTTGGAATGTTCATGAAGGACTTTGAAGAAACAATAAACAATTTTTTCTTGCTTCCTTATGTTATTCTTTTCTTTCACTATTTTATAGACCTTTATAGAGGTGTTCGGTGATAGGACTAGGGGCAGTGAGAACAAACTGGAACACAGGAAGTTCCACCTAAACATAAGGAGAAACTTTTTCCCTGTGAGGGTGCTGGAGCCCAGGACCAGCCTGCCCAGAGAGGCTGTGGAGTCTCCTTTTCTGGAGAGATTCCAAACCTGCCTAGAAATGATCCTGCTCTGGGTGATTCTGCTTTGGCAGGGGGGTTGGACAAGATGATCTCCAGAGGTCCCTTCTGAACCCTTACCATGCTCTGGTTCTGTGATCTTGTCCTTTCTCACCCAAATCTAAGGCTAATTCTCTGTTTTTCTGTGGTGCAGAAGCTCTTCTCTAGTTTAGATCATGCTTACAGCTCTCTTTCTCACTCTACTGTGTAATTTCTGAAGGGAACTGGGAGTGTGTGTAGTATTCAAACTGTGAGTGCACAGTGTGTGGCCGTGGTGCTATGCTGAAAATTTTCTGCTTTTTCTCTGTTTCTAGAAAATGTGAGCATTCAGTTTACTTTCCCAAGTGTGGGGGAATGCTGAAAAATCTTTTCCTTTGGATTTGAGTGGCCGATGTAAGTTAATGGCAGTGTCCTCTCTCTGCAGCTGCCGACGGGATGGTGTGTAATGAGTTGTGCTCCAGTGATGGCTGCTGGGGGCCAGGGCCAGACCAGTGTCTCTCCTGCAAGCGCTTCATCAGGGGAAGGACCTGCATAGACTCCTGTAACCTCTACGATGGGTAAGATGCTTCCCTTGCACTTTTCCCTGAAGTTGCCAAGTACCTTGTTCTGGAGTTTAAGGAGTAAGTTATTTTGGTTTTACATTAGCGAATATGTAACTCCATTGCCAGCATTACTGATTTTGAGTGAAATATATTGTGCAATAAGTTTTAAAGATTTCCAGATATGAACTTGTGTGGAAAGCTTTACCTAGTGCTTAGGCTCTACCTCCAACTACTAATTGAAAATAAGATGACTGTGTGGTTTTGATCTCTTTTTTTTCCTACCAGATCATGTAACTGTTAAGGGAAGAGTATTGAATGAACTCGCATATATACAGGAAAATGTTCTAAAGAAGGTGGAATGAGTTGTGTTGAGAATGTGCTGCAGGCTTTTTGTGAGGGGCAACTGGCAGCTGAAATGAGACACCTGGTCTCTGAAGGAACAAATCCCACCTACTATCACACTACATTTCCCCCCACCCCCCTTATAAGTGGTTAATTAAAAAAAATATATCACTTGGGTGATAGCTTCTTGTGGATACATGAAATAGATGAGCAAAAGGATTTATTTTGACATTTTATAGATTCAGTCCTCAGTCTGGAATTGTCAGTGAAGAAGGTACGAGCTTTTTGGAGAATGGGCTTTAAAACAAGAGTGATCAATGCTCTTTCTAATCCTTTCCTACCTGATAATGATATCTCACATATAACAAGTGGCTGCCTGAATCTGAGCCATGAGTGACAATTCCAAAGATAAAAACTGAGAAATGAGTTACTTTGTCCCAAATATGAGATCCCTTTTTTTCTGAAGGAAAGAGAGGAAAAGCCACTATCATTTTAGACTGGTAAACAAAATGTCTTCTGCTTGACCTGCCTGTGAATGAGGCTGCTGAGGGGGCCCGTTTCTCAGCTGGTGTAGAGCAGAAGTGGTCTCAGCTGGCACAGGCTGCTGACCTCTCACATTGCCCCCAGGTGAAGTGCCAGCCATTTTGTCTGCCATTCAGTCTCAATCCTGCTTTCTTCTAAAAATATTTTTCTAGGGAATTTCGAGAATTTGCCAATGGTTCTGTCTGTGTGGAGTGTGATCCCCAGTGTGAAAAGATGGAAGAAAACATGATCACGTGCTATGGGCCGGTAAGAGCGAAATTTGACATTTTTCTGATGACAGGCTTTAAAGCAGCTCTTGGAAATTAACGTGAACAAAAGCAGAAGATACACATGTCCTGCACGGAGGGAAAAAATTCTGCTCCTGTTCAATTGGTGCTGGGAATAAACTTCCTTAGATCAGCCTGCTTAAGAAAGTGGTTTAAAAAGCTTTCCTTTTCTTTCCTTAATGTCTTCGTGGTACAGATGTACAGAGTTTGTAAATGATAGATCGCATGCAGTTGTGATCTGAGTGCCCCCCACGGTTTTCATTCTTTATACTCAGTTCTCTCTTGTTCTACTACAACTTCAGTTACCTTGGTTTTCCACAGAAAAGGATGGGAATTTGTCTCAATCTCTCAGTTAGCTTGAAAAACATGTTGGGTGGGTTTTTTTTAACTTAGGGCAGCCTTTTAGCTTGTTTTGATAAGGAATTCTTTTATGCATCCTAAATGAATGCTAACTGCAGCTGTCACCTTTATCATGGCTAGTGAGTCTTCTTTCAAAGATGATTGCTCTATTGTAAGATAGAAGTTGCTTCTTTCTTTCAGTCTTTTTATATTGCCAAGATTAAAAGTCACAAGTATCCTGTGCAGCAAGGAGTTGTGTTTTATGTTTTTCATTGATGAGAAAATTTAACCCATAACTTATTGTTTTGCTTCTGTATGTTACATACTGAATGGTAAAAAAGGCATCATCATTTTTGTTGCGATACCGTGTTCCCCAACACAGCCATAAAACAAGAAGCTAACATTTCAAGTGTTCAACCTATAGAGAAATTTGGATTTGTAGCAGGGCTCATGGGCATAAAATCCTAGGCCAGTGCCCAGCCTGAACAAAAGATTTTTGTCTGCTGGCTTTTCATCACAGCTTTAAAATTTTACTTTTGCATTATCCAAAAACCTTGGTTTGTAGTTTGTAACAGTCAAGTCTACGTATGTATTAAGAAGAAGGAGACCCTGTAGTTCTTTGGTATTGCTGTGACCAGCTACCACATGGTGAATGCAGTGTGGAAAATAATTCTGAAGTACAGAGGTTGCAGATCCCAGTGAAAGGCCATTGCAGTTGCTTTGCAAATGAACAGTGTTGTGGGAAATTTCTCAGAGTTAAAGTGGGCATGAAGTCCCTTGTGTTAAGCACACCAGTAATATTGAGTAACCCATTTAGAAGCTGGAATTTAGTCTTGAATTCTACAGCATAAGCTGATGGCCAAAAGCACTAGGATGTTCACATCTGTTGCTCTTTAACAGGCTGGAACCACACTCATTGCTCATTGAGAAAGAAATGCTGCTACAGTTATTGCTGAGTGTGCTGTCAGTCTAGGACCTGCAACTCTAGTGCAGAGGAGAGGACAGAACTTGAAAGCACTGCATTTCTTTCTTCCATGCTCTCCAGGGACCTGACCACTGCACAAAGTGTTTCCATTTTAAGGATGGTCCAAATTGTGTGGAAAAATGTCCTGATGGCTTACAGGGGGCCAACAGCTTCATTTTCAAATATGCTGATGAAGATCGTGAGTGCCATCCATGTCATCCAAACTGCACCCAAGGGTAAGTGCAAGTTCTGTGGAGTGAGCCATCCTATTTATTTTTTCTGGCACATGGTGGTTCACAGACAGCGTGGCTTGGTGAGGCCCTTATCCCACTCTTGAAAAAAGTGTGTGAAGCAGTAATGTAACCCTTGATTTTTCAGGTCTCTCATGACATTCAGGTTCCATTCATACACGTCCAGCAACTTACCAGAAAAAAAAAATCTTACACCTCTTTGGAAAACCAGAAAGAACAACTTTTCCCAGCCATGCTCTTAGTGTTCCTTCCAGCTACCACTGCTTTGTAGCAGATGCTGTCACTGACACTTAGTTGTAGGCCTGTAAAATGAATTTATTTTTACTATTTACTTGTTGATGGAATTTTCACCTCTGCTCTTCTTATGGGAGAGCTAACCTGGCAGCACTTCTGTGAGACAAAAGTGTTCCTGCTCTCCTTTTCATATGGGGAGTGATGCAGGGGTGTTATCTGAAACCTGACTTTGTACAGTTGCTCAAGTCCTGTCTGAGTGCCTGAAGTCACTTACTGCGTTTGGAAATATACAGTCCATGTATGTGAGCCAGAATTAAGACACTATGCAACAAAATAATAGTAGTCATATACACAACTTACAGTTTTTTGTGGGCCACATATGTTATAAAAGTCTTTTTAATGAGACGGTTGGTGGTGTCCAGCGTACGAAGAAAGAGAAAGGCAGCCAGGGGAAAAAAGGGAAGACTTCAGGCAGTGAAATGATCTTCGACAAGAGACTCTTATTGTTTAGCAGCTAAAATTAAACCAGTAAATTATTCAATGTAATCTTCATGTCAACAGCTGTTGCCATTCAAAATGAGACCTTTTGCTGGTTTTGCAAATCTAATTACAATACAGCCATTAGGGAAATGAAAGCGAGATCGCAAAGACACGGCCAGGATCTGTTGCAGATTTGTCTTCCCCTCAGACCCTTTAAATCAGTTATGTAATAAGAAAAATGCTGCTACTGTGGAAGAAGAGTGTAAGAAGAACAATATGAAAAGATGAGCTCACTTCAGGAGCTCTGGTCCTGGCTTTAATAGGCAATGGAAGTGCCAGTTCTGATCGAATCTCACAAGTCCAGCTATGGATGATGGATTTTCTGTCCACCCTGCATAAGAAGTGCCTTGCAGCTCTGCCAGACTCTCAGACCACAATATGACACTTCTTCCCATTCCCTTCTCTTTTATGGGGAGGCCCAGCTCTTCTGTTACTAATCTTTGTGACACAACTGTGTTTCTCCTGAACCAGGAAGTTAGCAGAGTGTTTTCCATGCCTTTTCACTTGTTCATATGTCTCAGTATTTTTCAAGTGTCTGTTTGTATCTCCCTGGGTAGAACAGGATCAAGAAGGGAGGATTTTATGCCTTGGGGTGAAAGTCTGACATCCTAGTTCATAAACTAATAGGAGGGACATTGGGCAGTTGTAACTGAACTTGCCAGTCTTCATTGTTAACCCTTGGTGGCACAGGGTCCCATTCTGCTGAGTTCTGTTGTCATATAATCCTTGAGCTTTCCGTTTTCCCTGCTTTTTATTTTCTGCAGCTGATTAGGTGAAAGAATGCCTCATGTAGCATCATGTGCAATCGCCCAGAGAAATGACAAACTACCACTAGTAAAAGGGCCAAAGGTCTCACCCAGGTTACATACGCAAAGTTGCAGTTACCTCCCAGATGAGGAGCTATTGCTCTGCTATCAGTCAATTACTATTCCTCATAGAAATCTTCATCCACTTATTAGAGTTAGTATATCTATTCATAGGTGTTTTGTCAGCCCCTATAAAACCAACACCCACCAAGTCAAGGTGGGCATGGGTGTTCTTTTCCAGTACTCCTAAAGACTTTCTGGCCTATGATTATGTTAATGAAGCTGATAATAACTGACCAAGATGGTTGGGGCTTATGGCTTGTCCATCTTCTTGCCATTGTTGTCAGGGGCTGAATGCACCCACAGAGAGAAGGGAAATCATTTACTCTGTCTCCTTTTCTCCTTCAACACTGAATTCTCTAGTTTCATACCCTTCCATTAGAAATTAATATTTAAATCCCCCTCAATCAGAATTCTGCAGTGAAATATGTTGTGGAGGGAGCACATCTTGATATTTGGCTCACGCCTGAACAGTACAGAGAAACTGTAATTCTGCTTCATCTGGCATGTCTGTTCTCCTCTCTGTCAGATCAATTGCTGGAATAAAACCAGTGCCCTCGCAGTGCAGCTTGGATACTTGTTAAAAAGTGTTGAGCTACTGCAGAGCAGTGCACCCAGTGTGGTGTTCTCTTGTTCCTGCAGTGCTGCTCTCTTTGAATCGGGCTGCTAAAATGGGCTGTCAGTTCTCAGACTAGTTGTTTCTAGTCAACCCCACCTGTTGCTGCCACCAAGGAAGTTATCTGTCCCACCTCTGCATTTCCTCTGAGCACTTTGCCACAAGATCAACACGACACTTGCAGATGATCACTTTAGAGCGTGAGATTTGGTAACACCAGTCTCCTCCCTGATTCAAGTATAATGACTGCTTCTGTTAATAGATGTGTAATTATCCAGCCCTGTTAATGACCTTACTCTGACTAAGAGAACTATCAAGGAGTGACTTGCTTGGATGCCACAACTGTGCTCTTGGCCTTGCATCCCACTTGACAAACGTCAGCTACTTGAAGCCAGTTTTGAGCAGATCTGAGGCACATGGGACAGCTATCCCATTTAATTCAAGAGACAGAAAGCATTTGGCACCTCTTCTTGCAGAGCTAGCCAAAATGGAACACTTTCACAGAAATAAAATACTAATTATATAATAGCATTTGACAGTCTGCTTCCTCGCTGGGCAAGACACAAATGGGAGATCTCACTGGACACCTCCCCTCTATCATAGGCATTTTCTCTCACAGCTTTTTGAAGGAATTGCATTACTCTTCACCAAAACTTTTAATTTCCTTCTAAGCCAAAGCCAGGGAAGTCATGGTAGCCTTATCAACACATGTGTAGTCCAGAAAGGATTTGAAGACAGAAGCACTGTCTTGCCTCTAAATCTTAGGTGTATTCTTAGGAAGGTGTTATTAATTCCAGATGAAACAATAGTGCAAATTCAACAGCAACAAACTCTGAATAAAAAAGTGCTACTGTTCTCTTCTGGAAAATTTTCCTCTTACCCCCTGCCCTAGTTCAACTTTCTTACTATCACCATCAGTTTGCACTTGCTGTTAGCCATGTAACCCCTGGGTTTAACCTGTCTGGCTTTATCTATAGCAACAGTCGGGTGACCAAGTCATGGCTACAACCTAGGTTTTCTCCTTTCCAAAGTTAATCCATTTGTGCCTTTGTATACTCAGTTTTGTTTGTTTCCAGTAACAAAGATTTTTGAAAATTCATCTGACTAGAAATAGCTTCACTACTTCACATGTGTGAACCATTAAGACCCAACATTTCAAACTTAAGGAAAAGTATTGAAAGACCATATTTGTGACAGAGGGGGGGAAAAAAAGTATTTCAGGAAAAAGGAGTTGTTACCACGATTTTCAGAGCTATTTTAATTCAGCATTTTCTTTCAGAGGATGATTATCTGGAAAGCTAGGATGAGCTCCAAGTATAATTTTCTGTATAAGCTGTGTTGGACTGTTGTGATACTGAATATATCACTAATAAATTGGCATGTGTCAGTTAACCAGTTCATTTTACAGAGCTAACTTGGAAATGAAAATATCATCCAGACTCTAAGCAGAAGAGGGAACCCTGAGGGTTGAATGGAGTACCAGTGTGATGCACGATTGTGTCACGCTTGTGCTTACAAGCATCAAAAACCTTGAACCCAGAGAAGAAATAATCGATGCCTTGATGGCACAAAATAACTTTGTAGCAGATACTGCTGTTACTCACACGGTGTTGTACTTCGCTGCACGGCATCAGGACGGCCAGTCTGAGAGCAGGAAACTCCTCAACGTGTCAAGGAGTAATGGAAATTGCAGCTGGACAGAATGTTCTCTTTGGGGCTGAGAAGCCCACCGAAGAGGATTACAGGTTTAAATAAAAATAAATGGTATTTCAGCTTGGAGTGGGTGAGATCCAAACAGCTCTGTCTTCTTGGATTCAAGTCCTGTCCTCCAAAAGTCTGAGAGAATAAATGTACAGATGTGAAATGATTCCAAGACAATAGGCTCTTTATGCTAACTCTGCCAGTTACCTGAACTAGTAATGGGCTCACAGACTTCCGGTTGGAAGAGGGCCTTCTTTTTATTTATAACAAGAGTCTGAGCTCAGCATCTCTTGACATGCTAGGAAATGGAAGATCTGAACAACTTTTTTTCAGCCTCCTTTGTTACTGAACGGGTTTTCTGCAAATTGCTGAGGATGCCATGAAACGAAAAAATGTTGGATATGTTTAAGACTGGTTAGAATTCAGACAGTCCTGAATTCTGAAGCCCAGGACAGCTGAAATTTCAAAAAACACCCGTCGAGTTCTCTCTATTAAGTTTTTGAAATCCATTTAAATCTTTGCCTCCCATTTATGCATTATCTGGCCACCTGGGTATTTAATGAATCCTTTTTATGTCTGCACATTTGCTGAAGGAAACTGTTATTGAGGAAATCCTTATGATTTGTGCTTGCATGTCACAGGTTTTATGTAAAAAATAAAAATTCTAGCAAACAAACAAGAGGTAAGGTTCACTATCATTCTGCTTTCCCTGGTGGACAGGTAAGGGGAAATTCAATTCACTGAATTTATTTTATAATGGCAGAATGATAGCTAATTTAAATGAAGCAAAAGCTGATGAGTGGGAAGTGATGGTGAAGTGGAAAGAAGATCTCATGGGAGCATATTTGAACTCTTTTCAGATTTTTGACATGCATATCCCCCTATCAAAGCCAAACTGAAAGCAGGAGACTTTAAAAAGAGTTGGGGATCATACCTTAAATTTAAAATGTCTCAACAGAAGTGAGTTTCAGTACACTGATGTGTCAGATCACCTGCTCCTGTAGTAGATGTACAACCAAAGAACCTGCTAATAAAATGTCTCAGAGATCTTGTCAAAGAGTTGAAGTAACTGGGGTAGTTTCCTTAAAATGCTGAGTAGATACTCTCCGTGGTTACAGAGGGCTAGCTAGGCATTCAGCATCACGGGTGTCAGGTTGTCATAACCCCTAAAAAGCTAACTTCACCTGTCTGTCTCTGAGAATCTGGCTGCTGTGTAAATGTGAAGTTGACTCACTCTTTGAATGCAGAGGACCTAGGCCACCACTTCACCTACTGATCTTCATGAAGGCAAGGAGAATGCACACGTATCCATGTTTTGCAGACAAGACTCTTTCCCAGTGGTTGTGCTAAGTGGTGCTGCATAAAGCAGTTCTCTACATTTCCATTGCCTTTGGTGAGCACCTGCTGGTTTTGCAGGTGGAGGACTTCTGGCGACATCTAAGGAAAGCAGGATAAAATGCCTGAATGAGCAGATGCCATTTTGCTCTGTTTTTTTGTTGTTGGATATTCTTTCTTGAGCTTCCCTGATAAAAGCTTCCGAAATATTTCTACAGTTGCCCCAGCTAGGAGCTTAGAACAGACTGAACCGTTGCATCATTTACAGAAAGAAAAAAAGTTTTGCATTGTGCTCCTGGAGGTCTCGTCTTGCAAATGAGCAGCTTTTGTGCAGTAATCACTGGTTTGATGACTCAGACAGCATCCAGGAAAAACAGCTCTATTGTCAGGACTCCCACGTGTGTAGGTGAAACCTGCCTTAAGTGTTGTTTGAGCCAAGAGATGTCCAACCCTGCAGCGCTGTTTATGTTGCGATTATTGTTCCCATTGCAAGCTTGGTTTTGTCACAAGCTATAATTTTGCGGTAACGTGGCTCTCTCCCGAGAATTATAATTAAGAATGTGGCACAAAGAGGGGATTCCTGCCTCTTTGACCTGTAAATAACAGATTTCTCCGTTTCTCTCCCTCTCTCCCGCTGGGGTTTGCTGCAGGTGCGTAGGGCCGCGCATGGAGGACTGCATCGGCCTCATGGATAGGTACTTGCTGGGCGGCCGCCCCCGTGTGTCTCCATCCCCACGTGTGGACAAGGGCGCATGCCTCTGCATGTCCTTGTGAATGGCAAATGACGTCTGTGTTCTGTGATTGCCTGCAGGTGTAGAGGGCCCGCTAGTCATGACTGCATTTACTATCCATGGACACGCCAGTCCACTTTACCACAACATGCTAGGTAACATCCTCCACTGCGCCATTCTTCTACCCCGGGTCCTTCCCCGGTTGCCATAGGAACGTTATACTAGCCAGTTTGAGCAGAAAGGCACATTACGGGGAGGGTGCCGTTGGGCCTTAAGTAAGCTACGACTTTGAACATCCAATTTACTTTTCCATTTGAAAGCCTATTAAATACCTTCCTTATTTAGGCAAGTAATGCTTTTTTTTTTTTTTCCACTTTTTAGGTGAAATCAGTAAGGATTCTCATTCTGAAGTTTTCTGCAGAAATATGTGTGCTGAAATGTTACTAGAAGTAAACATGATGAAAACTCAGGTGTAATCGGAATTTACTTTTTTTTATTGTTTTTAAGACAGAGCTTAAGCAAATGAAGCTTTTTCTTCCATACTTCTCTGGGGAAAAAAGCAAACATTTCAGCAAAACTGAATTTTTTCCTTAATTCTCATAACACTCTTTGTTTTGGGTTTTTTTTTTTGTTTTTTTTTTTTTTTTTTTTGTTTTTGTTTGTTTGGTTTTGGTTTTTTTTTGTTGTTGTTGTTTTTTGTTTGTTTGTTTTTTGGTTTTTTTCTAAAGAAAGAAAAGAACAACCATAGCTCTGCAGCAACTTTATTTTTCAGTAATGGCAACCAAAAGAAATAACTGTAGGAAGACCTGTGAAACTTTCCAATTATACCCTGTATTCTTTTTCATGAAAGCTCTTTATTGCCATTGAGTTTATTTTTAAATTCAAACTGGTTAGTATGACTTCCAGGCTTTGGGATTACTGGCCTGAGCTAAGACTGGATGAAAAATGTATCATTTCAATCAACTTCACCTCATTACAGATTTTACTCTGGGGTTTTTTTCTTGTCTTTAAAAAAAGATTTTAAGGTTGCCTTTCCTCCCCAGCTCTATACCTAATGTGAATATCCTTGTTTCTGGCTGTTGAAGGAGAACATGTTTAGACTTGAGAAATAGTACTTTATAAATGATATCAAATGATGTACTTAATTAAATCAGTATCAGTTCAGACTTAATTCATGGACCAAGGAATAAGCAACAGGAGATGGCTGATTTTTTCAATATTTTAATATTCTGCTTTAATCATTCTGGTCTGGGGTATCCAGTTTGAGATATTTCTGTCAGGGAATCATTCTCAGGTACTCATCCAAACTGAATTGCCCAAAACAAGCAATCAGTTGTAAAGCTATCCATTTTGTCAACTTTACTCAAAGTGCAAATGCAGAAAATGTATTACTATTTGCATAAATTTAGGGGCCTTGCCAAACGGCAGAGGATGAAGGCCATGCTCAAGTTCTTTGCTTTAGTAAACCAGTTTTAAAGTAACATTTACCAATTGCATTTTTAATCAGTTTTTGAGGCAACATTAGAGGCTTTGTACTGGGAAGACAACTTGTTTGCTGTAGTGGAGTTATCCTACAGCATTACAGGCTGCTTGCTTGAGCTTCCTCTGTTAGCCCAAAAGCCAGTCAGCCCTTGTTCACTGTGTACGCCAAGTGGCCTAACTCCAAAACTTACCTTTGCCTTGAAAACATTCAGGTAGTAGAAAATCCCTGGAAGTACTGCCAAATACCCATTGAATTTGATGAAGAGACTCCTGTTAATCACAGTAGATGTCAAGATCAAGCCATGTATTTAAAAGGCAGTTTAAAAGACTGGAACCTCGAACATGATGACATAATGCTAAAGAAAGTGTTGTCTAGTAGGGCACCAGGCTTAAGCCATATGCTTGCAGGCATGCTTATTTTGAGGTTTATGTTGTGTAAGTCGTACCGTTTGTCTCCTTGAATCTGCTGTCAAGGTAGTCAAGCAAATTATAAAGGGGAGTGGAAATGAAAACAATTTATTCTGCTTAAATGAATAATTTCCTGCACCATTCAGTGCAGGGAGTAAGACCCTCAAACGTTTCCTTTAGATCTGATGATTTTGTTGTTGTTCTATCTTCTGCTGAATTTATTTTAGGGAATTTGCTGCACTGTGCTTAAATGTCAGTATGTATGTATGCTTTTACTTTCAGGCCAAAGAAGGAAACCTCATACCTTTATATTTATCACATTAGTGAAATTGTGCATTATGGGTTTTTTGTGAAAATGATCCATTTAGTTTGGTCTAAAAGTGGGCAAAACTGCACTGGCAAAGTGATACTTTTTGTATCAGTATGGGCAGAAATCTAAAATGGGTGTTTTTCACTTCAGATAGAACCTTCTTCATGTCCCTTTAACAGTTTTGTGTCCTCCCTAGACTTACAGACCTTAAAATAATTAATAATCACTTTTACCCTTAGCTTGAATTAGCAGTGAGTTGAAGAGCAGAGTTCTTTGCTGTGCAGGCAGCTGAAAAGTGAGAGCAGGGCTCAGACCACAAACAAGACACTTCTCATCCTCAACAATGTCCGTTTTCATACCAGTGTTGCTTTTCTTTCCAGCTTTGCAGTTTGCAAATCGGTTTTGCCGTGATCCATTGACTTGGGGGCGTTTGTAAGAGGAATTCTGGCTGTCGTGTTTAATACAGATGAAGCAGACACGCGCCACACGGCTTGTTTTCCAGATGGCCAGTGAACCTTCAGGTTTTCTGCTTATGTTTGATCCCTTATATTTTACAGCAAAAAAAAATCCTTACTTTTGGCACTGCATTCTGCATAGGTTTGGTTGTTTTAAAACCATTAACTTCTGCAGAGTTCTGTCCAAAAGGATGCAAGAAATCCTTCTCCTGTTTCCAGCACAGTGCCATGTGTAAGGGCTATTTTAGCCCTTTTCCTCTAGAATACCTGATAGATTTTTTTTTCAGATGACTGTTAGATAACTTGCTGGATCTCATGTGCCTTTTTATTTTCTCCCTATGAGAACCCACATTTATTGTCAATGTGTTCAGTTTATCTTCACAAAGGCTTTCACTGTATTCTTCACTGCCACGAAAATTTCAGACTGAGGGAGTTGGAAGTCACAGGAGAAGTGAGTTACCTCTTCTGCTTGTGGTTAGTTGCAAATTCTGGTTGTTGTCATTACAGCTCTTGATCTACAGCAAGGAAAGCCTTTCCCCGTGTTTGTGACATAGAATCATAGAATCCTTGAGGTT